GACAGGAACCCACCAGGAAAAACTATCCTGATTGGAAACTGCTCCCACTTATACAGAAATCTGGGATAGAGGAAAAAACCCAGCTGAGTGATCAGGCTAGGATTTGCAGCCTAGAGATTTACAGACAGGATGGTTTGGGTTGGAAGGGACCTTACACCCACCCAGTGCCACCCCTGCCATGGCAGGGACACCTTCCACTGTCCCAGGCTGCTCCAGCCCCAGTGTCCAACCTGGCCTGGGACAGGGATGGGGAGTTCACAGCCTCTCTGAGCAACAATTCCTTGGAGAATCCAAGCCTGCAAAGGTCAAAGCCCTTCTGATGCACCCACTGTATGAACACAAACTGTTTGGAGCTCGATGGGGCCACTCAAGAAATTTTAGAGGCAATGACTGAAAAGCTCTGAACACCTCGTGGAAAGGAAAGCATCCGAGCAATGAGACAAGGAAGTAATTTCTAGCTCTGGCTTTCCTTGGAGAGAACAACTACAAGGCCAGCAACAGGTGGAATTAAAAAAGGAGCTCACTCACACAAGGTAGAATGGGGTATCCATTCCACTCTCCCATTTGAGTGAGGTTTGGAGGAAAAACACATGGACATTCTGCTGGGCAGTGGGAACAGCAGCATGGGTGACCACGTCATCACCTGGGTGTGCACAGCCAGCTAAAGCACGTGGGGCTCACAGCAAAAGTACAACGTGTTCTCTGGGCAGCTCTGGAAGCCTCTGCTCCCTGAGATTTACTGTTCTGTGTACTCTCCACATATTTACTGATGGAAGAGTTGCACTGAAAAAATCCACTAGAATTCAGAAAAACAGTAAAGAAAGAAAGGAAGGACATAATTTATAAAGTAGTTCTGTATGTCCTTATTTGGAGCTAAAATAATAGTTTGGTTTGGGTTGGGAGGGACATTAAAACTCATCCCATTCCAACCCTGCCTACCATGGACAGCGACACCTCCCACTGTGCCAGGCTGCTCCAGCCACAGTGTGCAACCCGGCCTTGGGCACTGCCAGGGATCCAGGGGAATCTGGGAATTCCATCCCAGCCCTGCCCACCCTGCCAGGGAACAATTCCCAATTCCCAATCTCCCATCCAGCCCTGCCCTCTGGCAGTGGGAGCCATTCCCTGGCTCCTGTCCCTCCATCCTTGTCCCCAGTCCCTCTGCAGCTCTCCTGGAGCCCCTCCAGGCCCTGGCAGGGCTCTGAGCTCTCCCTGGAGCTTCTCCTCTCCAGGTTGAACATTCCCAGCTCTCCCTGGAGCTTCTCCTCTCCAGGTTGAACATTCCCAGCTCTCCCAGCCTGGCTGTTGGGATCAGCTCCCATTCTCCCACTGCTGGGGGGAGGAACAGAGCCCAGAGAAGAGTTCAGGACAAAAGGAGCCACGAGTGCCCCTGATGTAATCCCAGCACACACAACACACAACAGGGTCACCGCTTCACACAGCCGGTCACTGACCCGCACGTGGCCAGTGCCCTGGCTGAGCTCCGAGCCCCCTGTGCAGGAGGGCAAGACAACACAAAATATATCTTAGAAAAAGGGGAAAAAACAAACAAAATCCAGGGGATTTCTAAGGGAACAGCAAAAATGAGCCAAAGCAGGTTTTCAGATGAGGCAGGGATGTGCCCTTCCCTCACATCAGCTGCTACAGCTTGACTTGACTAAAGCTACCCTGGTGAGGCAAAATATCTGCAGTAGGTAAAACATCCCAACAGAATAAAGTCAAAATAAATGTGGATAGAAGGATAAAATACAGAAAATTAACACTGAGTTGTTTGCTATCAACTAAACAAGCCAGAGCTAATATTTAATGGTAGTTTCATGCTGGGGGAGACCAAGAGGTTTTTAACCCAGTGTTGGGTCAAATGTAGATATTGCAAAGGTACAGACATGTTTTAATTATAAACCTCCATGATTATTTGCAATAAAAAAGCTCAGGCTAGGCTAAAAATTATCAGTTATTGTATAGATGTTTGTGAAACAATATTATGTTCAACTTTTATGTTACAACTCAAGCAAGAAGAAAAGATAAAAGAATGAGGGATACAGCAAAAGGGGTGAATTAGATAAATACAGTAATATAATAGTAAGGTAGAAGAACACTGATTACACAGCAGGCAGCTGTCTCCTTGAAGTTCAATGAACATTGCCAGTGGTGTCCAGAGCCAGTGGCCACAAAACAGAACTTTTTAATGCAAATTTTATCAGTAATAAGTTGAACTATACACAACATGATTTTCTGGGAAAAAAAAAAATTCAAAACTTTTAACTTTTAAAATGGTAAAAAAAAAATAAATTTTTTTTTTACATGAATTTAAAAACATCAAAACTTCAAACCAGGATGATTTTAAACCCAAGAGAGCCCCTACTCACTGTGTGCTATGTGTACCAGGCTGAGGAGAGCAGGACTCGGGAGCTCAGAGGTACAAAGAGAGCAAACATTGGCAGCCCCTGGTTAAAATGTTCCTGCACCAACATTCCCACCCCACTGATGACCCTGCAGCTAGCCAATGGAAGGAATTCCAGCTAGGAACAGGGAACAAAATCTTCCCTACAAAGCTCTAGTAGTGAGAGGCTAAAGCTTTGCAGGACAGGAGCAGCTCACCCTGTTGTTTCTAAACAGAGCAATAAATTCTGGTCCATTCCAGGTTTTTGTTTGGTTTTTTTTTCAGTTAAAAACTGTTCATTAACCAGCTTGTGAACATTCTCTTTATATCTAAAAATCAGGATCTGCACTTTTTGCAATAAATATAAATTAGTCGATGTTATCATCAGCATGATAAATAAGGGGTATGATGCAAATTATCATGGAATGCTTTGGGTTGGGAGAGACCTTTAAATCTCATTCCATCCCATCCCTGCCATGGCAGGGACCCCTCCCACTGTGCCAGGCTGCTCCAGCCCCAGTGTCCAACCTGGCCTTGGGCACTGCCAGGGATCCAGGGGCAGCCCCAGCTGCTCTGGGCACCTGTGCCAGGGCCTGCCCACCCTCACAGGAAAGAATTCTTAATTCCCAATCTCCCATCCAGCCTTGCCCGCCTTCATCTTAAGGCCCTTAAGGAATTCACACTCCACTAAGCCCACACTGCTGATCAGCACAGCCTGAAGACTCAGCGACACTGTGGCCACCTCAAGGGACTCACCACAATGGCAACTCACTCCAAGAGTCACCTCCTTTTCTTCCCTGAACTAACACATCCTGGCACTACTGTCAGATGGAAGAATTCAGCACATACAGGACAAAGCTTTCTGCGGGAGCAGTAAACAGAACAAGCCATGTCTGCTACAGTCAAATAATATTTAATCATTTTATATCAAAATGTGAGTGAAGATTAAGTTTCACACATTTGTTTTGAAGCTCAGTGTTATTTGTGCATCCCACTATGGTATCCTAGCAACTTTTATTTAGGAATGTGGCTTGAGAAGAACTTGTGGTGGCAGTGCCAGTTTCAGAGGCTCAGATGTAGCCATGGCAGCCCCTGTTTTATTTTACACTGACACTCAAAGATGTCATGGAGGCCCCTCTGCTGCCCAACAGGACCTCAATTTAAAAATGAAGATCCCAAGAGGCAGCATTCCTTTTTATTTTTGTCACTAATTCAGCAGTCAAAATTTCTTCTCTAAAGAGCTAAATTCATTCACAAGGTAGATATTTACTCTGTGAAGATTATCACACCCCCGGGATTTTTGGAAGCAATGTGTGAAATCCTTAAATATTCCAAACCGTGGGATGTCATTACCTTCTGCACCCATTGTCTGCTTTGGTAAAGAAGGAGGAGATGTTTCTTTAAAAGATGTTTTAAAATGAAGATAAGGGACATTTCAGAAGAGGGTCTGTTGTTAGATCCTTATATGAAGTGAAAACAGGAAAGAAGAAATGAGTTAATCACTCTGTGTATTCAGGAGGAGAGGAGGCAAGGACAGAGTGGAGACGAGGAGATTCCCAGATCTTATCCACGAAGATGTCAGAAAAAAGTCAGCAGGGAGAAGCATCAGCTCAGAGACCTTTATCCTCACTGCAGGAAGGCAGCTGGGGCTCTCCAACAAACCAGGGAACTCTTCCTGCCAAGCAGGGCCTGTGGAGCAGAGAAAATCAAATGAGGGAGACAAAACCCACAGTCCTGAGAGCCTTCCCCACCCCCATTCCTGCACAGGGCATGGGGAGGCTCCAAACACAGGGAACAGTGACATGAGGCTACTCAGGTGCTGTCCCTTCCTCTGTCCCTTCCCAGGGACAGGAGCCACTGACCTTCCCAAACTTACCCTGTGCACACACCTGGAGGTTACACTCACTCCTTGTCTGCTTTAGGAACAGAACTCTGTAAGAAAACATAAGCTCCTTAAGCAATTGATTCTCAAGTGTGATGCAAGATACCTAAATATTCAATCTCAGCTGGGTGGAGTATTTTAATAAGGCAGCGCCTTATCAGCTCACCTCAAACTACAGCAGGAAAGGTGCAACTATAATCAGATCTCTGCACTCCAGCACAAACAGCAAAGCTCACTGCTTCACACAGTATATATATATTTTTTAAATTAAGCTCCAGTGCTGTTGGCTTCCTCTGTGCTCTTTTTTTTTTCCCAGCACTGGGATTCAGGAGAACTCATGCAGGCATCCAAGTTTTTAGATCAATGACATGGTCCTTAGTGTGTCTTAATTCAGGGACAGGTTGGACAGGGCTTGGAGCAACCTGCTCTAATGGAGGGTGTCCTTCAACAGGGCAAGGAGCTGGAACTGGATGAGCTCTGAGGTCCCTTCCAACCTGGACCACCCTGGGAGGCAATGAACCCCTACCCTTCTCAGAGCTAATTCTGAAGAATGGCCCAGCACTTTCCCAAACACTACAGACCCAAGCCCAGTGTCTCTGTGAAGGTTCAAATCCACAACTCTCAGCCCTGGAGAGGAGTTCTCATCACTTGGCTTTGGACTAAAGGACAAGGTCCATTCTTCCTTTTGCAGTTAGGCAGGAGAAAAAAAAAAAAAAAAAATCTCACAGGAGACAGGAAAAAGCCCAAATTAGGAGGGCTCTGTAGTTTCCACAGAGGGCTGTGTGTTTCTGACTCTAGCAGTCTGAGCTGTTTATAGGTTTCAGGGTTTTTTTCATAGAGCTGTTATGGAGTAAAAGAATCAAAAGAAGGGATTGGATAAGAAGCCAAAACTTGCAACTTCTTCCTCCAACTTCAAACTTGAAACTTTCTCCTCTCAACTTCAATTCCCTCCTAGGATCCACCCTGCCATCCTTTACTCAGCTCCCAAATTCACTCACAGCCAGGCCATGTGGCCCCCAACCCCCCGTGGGCTGAACCCAGCTCTTGTGCTCTCCAAGTTGAGTCTCTCTGCCCATCCTGAGTGCTCCCAGAGCTCAGCACACAGGAGGAGAGCTCCGAGCCCAGGGGATCTCTGCCAGCTGCTGGCCCCCGTTCAGGCTGGGGATGCGCAAGTCGCAGGTTCAGCGACTGCGGGTGCACCGAGGGCTGAGCTGCCCTTGCTGGGGCAGCACCCATTGGTCCCACCAACCTCTCCCCCTGCAGGCTCTCCTTCCCTCTCCCTCCTGCCTGTGCCAAGGGAGTGCGGTCACTTGGATCAGGAAAACAATGCTGGAAAGCTGACACCACGATGGTAAGCAGTGCAGCAAAGTAAACATGTCTGTATGGGTATATAAAGGAAATACTCCCAGCTTAGTGAGCTGAGGGGTGAAGGATCCCTGAGGGGTGAAGGATCACCACAGCGAGGACAAGGGAAGCAGCAGCACAAGGCAGCCAGGGAGGGTAAAGAGCAAAGCCAGCTGTGCCCTCGGGTCATCCCGATGGCTGGAGGGTCCAGGACACACTGGGTGGCTGTCAGTTTCTTGGGGTCCAGAAGGTCAGGGTGACCCCAAGATTGTAAAGAGTCTTTGCTTCCTCAGCCCTATGCAGCCAAAGAAGGAGCCTGGAATGTGTCCAATTGCGACCTGCCAAGCTCTGCCTAGCAAGTCCACCACAGCAGTCTGCCTTCGAGCCTCGGGTGGCTCCCACCTTATATTCTCAAAACTACGTGTACCATGTTTGCAGTTCCCGTACCAATACCTAAGATCTATGTTAGACAGTGTGTCTCTACCTTAAACCAATAGAAAGGTGTCACTATCACAGCAAGTCATGGAGGACAAAAAGAAGGTCAGACACGCCCAAATCCCTCCATCTTGTACCCCCTTGAACCCCATCCTAAAAATCCCAAAATTCTACTTTTCCACCCTATGTGAGTTCAAATATCACACTGCTCAAACCCTTGTGGCTTGTAATTCCTCATACAAAATTGACAGCCTTCTCCACAGGCTAAAATCGAAGCCACAGGTGTTTTTGACTTCATGCCAGGGTCTCCAAGACCCCTGCCAGGATCTTGAGACAGCCAGGGCAGCCAGAGGGATGTCCTGGATTCCGACAGGTGGCTGCAAGTTTGCATTCCCATTCCCACTTTCTGCCCCAGCCTGTCCCTGATCCCTGGAGAGACACACCAGGGAACCAGGGAGGCAAGACATCCACCTCTCTCTGCATTTTTTTCCTATGTGGTTCACCACCAAGCCAAGTGTGCAGGCAGCTCTGAGGCACAACAAAAAACAGCCATGGCAACCAAACCTGCAAAATGGCCAGAATCCCACAAGGGAACTGCAGGTTTAGGTTGGGGAAGGATTAGGCTCATCCTGAAAGAAAAAAACACAGCCTTAGAAAACTTTTCATTTCCTCAGTCTTGAAGAGCTGCTTAAGTAGCTTGGAGGCCTCCAGAATCTGGTGGCAATTATGATTTGTAGTTAGAGCTTTGGGTTAAATAAGCTTGCTTAACTCATGTGTTTTATTTAGGACAAATTCCTGGCTCTCACCTGGTCATATAGAATCATGAAAGGTTTGGGTTGGAAGGGAACTTAAAGATCGTCTCGTTTCACCTCTTGCCATTCAGTGTGGTGTACAAAACAAAATAAAAGAAAAAAAGGCATTATTATATGTGTCTTTCACGGCCTAAGCTGAAGCTCTGCAAGACAGGTCCCAGACATACCTGTGTCCAGGTATGATCCTCCAAGCATCTGGATTTGGCATTTTTCTAGGCAAAACATTCCATCAAGTTTTGCTGCTAAAAAGAAATAGGATCATAAACTTTTACAACCACCCCCATGATATTAAATTTGACACCTCAATGATGTAGGTTGCTGCAAGCGTTTTGTATCATGAAAAATACCCTTGAAATGCACTTTCTGTGTTATCCTTTCAGCTACATACCCAAAATTGTGGCATAAGTATTAACTCTGCTCATTAATTCCAATATCTACTGGATAAGTTTTTTTTAATGCTTAAAAAGTTGGTAAGCCTTTGCAAACAGCTGGGAAAGAATTCAAGTGAATCAAAGTCCAAAAGCAGAGACATTCAAAGTTTAATATTTACTTCAAGCAAATATTTCACCACTTTGGCCGTGAAAACCAAGCTGTGACGGGATTGCTACGAGGGCTGTGAGAGATGAGTAATGCCACGGTTGACTCTCACAATTAAAATGCAAGTATCACGTATATTGGTTAGGGGAAGTTTTATAGATTTATAGTTATGTTTTACCACCCCTTGTGCTGTTATCAGGGCAGTTTGGGAAATTTGGGAGGGAGGGATTGTTACTGTGGCAGCACCTGATCTCCAATTGTCAGGAAATGATCTCTACCACTGGCCAGTGAAGGAGGAGGGGATGGGCAGAACTTTGGGAGGGGCCAAAGGGTTCAAAGCACGTGGCGGGGAAAAAAAAATCCTTTGCTCCTGGTGGCGTAATATTTTTTTCTATTCAGTCTTCTGTTGTATTTTGATAGTTTTAATTTTTTGAAAGCGAGTATAATTTCTCACAGGGCCAAGCCGTGAGGGCCATGCCAGGAGAGGATTTGCCATGAAGGAGATGCTGTGAGGGCCATGCCCTGAGGGAATTGTAATGGGGGCTATGTTGTGAGGGCCCAGCCATGAAAAGGATGCCATGAGAGGGGTGCCATGAGAGGGGTGCCATGAGGGGGCTGCCGTGAGGGCCCAGCCATGAAAAGGATGCCATGAGAGGGGTGCCATGAGAGGGGTGCCATGAGAGGGGTGCCATGAGAGGGGTGCCATGAGGGGGCTGCTGTGAGGGTCAAGCCGTGAGGGCCATGCCCTGAGGGAACTGCTGTGGGGGCTAAGCCATGAGGAGACTGCCATGAGGGCCAAGCCATGAAAATGAT